CGCCAGCCCAGCTCCTCCCGTGCCAACTCTCTGGTTAGGCTGGACCCTTCCCGGAACCTGGCCGGGAACCTCCGGCGCCCGGAACTTCCGGCCTCTCCCGAAACTTCCAGCCCTGCCTGCGTGCAGTGACTTGGGCCGAGGCCCGTGTACCCTTTCACCCCCGAGACTATATATACTTTTCTCCTACCTACGTTTTAGGCTTAGCAAAGTAGTAGCTCATTGAGAAGCTTTGCTTTCCACTTGATCCCCTTCTCCTTAGAAGTTCACGGCCTCTACGAAGAAGATCCCCCAAGTGGATTCAAGACCCTTCACAGGAAGACCCCTCAAGACCTCCTCACGGAGAAGAACGTGCTACTTGTATCGTCCCTTGTTGTTTGTGGATCTTTTATCTCTTTGTGTTTCGAGGATCTAGCACATGTGTAACCGGATCTTGTTGGTTTGAGTGATTTCTCCCATGTTTTCCCCGTGTTTCTCTTGTGATTTCCCCTTGTGTTCCTCGTGTTCTTTGGAGGGTCCGCTCCTTTCGTGAAAGATCGAGCATCTAGGGTTCTACCCTACATCACCTCCCCCGCGTGCGCCCCCTCCTCTCTCTTTTTTAACCGAAGTAGCAACATTTTGCTTATGAAACCACAATAAGAGCGAAGCACTTGGAGTGCACTTAGCTAAATTGGTCAGAACAAATGCATTACTTACCCATTTACTCATATTTGAGGACAACATATCAAGAAGGTTTCTTCCAAACCATTTGTCAAAATGAGATGAAATTATACTAGTGCACTTTGAAATATGAGTGATTTACTACAAGTATTTCAAATGCTCTATGCCTTGGAATTTTTGAAGCAAAAGATGACGCTAAAACTAAACAAGCAAAGTTCTCTAAAACAATTTGTCAAAAAGAGCTACAAATTTACCAAAATGCTCACTAAATTATTTATAATTTATTAGAAAATTTAATATTTTCTATGTAGTTTGAATTTTGAACCCAAATATTTGTGGTTGAAACTAAAAATCATGTTTCTCCCAAACTCTCTGTCAACAAGACAATACTTTTACTAGAATGATCACTGAGTATGAATGTTTTGCAATGACTCTTTTTAAAAAAATCCATGTAGTTTGAATTTTTTTCACTCAAATTTGAGATAGAGACTAAACAAAACAAGTTTCTCCCAAATCATATATAAAAGCTAAATTTTTAACAAAATGCTCGATGGATTTATGCATGATTTACTTGATTTTTTTCAAATTTATATGTGCGTGTTTTTTGTATTTTTGTCAAGAGATAATATTCGGTTGAGATGTTTGGTGTACTGAGTTGACGTGTATAGATGTTGTGGTGCCATGTTAGCAAAAGCCAGGTATGGAACCAATCAATCTAGTAATGGTTTTTGAAATGATTTTCATAGTTTGAGAGGGCATTTTAAACCAAAGTAAAGTTCAAGGTTGTAATTTCAACTCAACTATAAAGTGGTGTGGTGGGAGCATTGGTAAGGTGGGTGGGATGGTGGTAAAATTAGACATATACAACCTGGGGAAAAGTTCAGTGACACGTCACACCCGTGAGGGTGCCTGTTGTTGATTAGGTTATGATTTATACCGTTGTTGCTTTTGTTTCATATAAGAGTAGTAGACACGTACATGTGTGTGCATTGCATGTTTGCATGTAGAGGGGAAAGGGTGATATATTGCATTACGGTAGTAGTTGATTGATACATGGGTGCAAATGAGGAAAGGAAATGACGGGTACATGGTTGCTACGAATAGGTAAAAAAGTATGGTGGAAACTAAATATTTTCCACGAATAGGTAAAAATGGTTGCTACGTTGTACTATAAAGACAGGATATTATATGGATCTTGTGTAAGAATCTTTTGAAAAATCATACCAAATACCTTCCACACATATGTGAGAAAGAGCCAGTTATTTCCACCTTTGTGTGCTGCAATACAAGTTAGACACAAAATCAAATTATCTGACTTTATGTCTGACCTTGTATCTGGCTTGTACTTGCCCTCTTGGATCAGATTATCTGGCATGTCAAATAGTATGACATATATATGTCCAACATTGTATCCGAATTTGTCCATAGCATTGGAAGATGTCGGATACTGACTTAGATAGTCTGACATTTCTATGCAGTACAATAACTAGCAAAAAATTGGTTGACCTGTAAAATCCACCCTTCTTCTTTAAAGGAAGGGGACGACTCATACTCTCTTTCCTCCATTGATCCATAGCTTAAAACTCTGATTCCTCCCTCTCTACCCACTCAATCCATCCCATATACTAGAAAGAGCCAGAGAAACACTTGATCTACAAATTCATCCAATCAAAACTCAAGTTCATTGACTCCCCCACGAAATCCTAGAAAATATTGTTACCCTTGGGTTTGTAGGGAACCCTAAAGGGTTGGTATTTCACATGAGCTTCCAAGTCGTGTGGTTGTGCCATGGGGCTTTTTTGTGAGGGTTTGGAGCTCATCTCAAGATCTATCCCTAGTGGAAGAGAATCTAAGCATTCATTGCTTGAGGTTCTCCAAGAAGAAGGTGAGACATTCATTCTCATGGGAGCATTCGTTGTCCACCCCCCCCCCACCCCCCCGTCCCCAACGGAGATTAGCACACCTCAAGTGTGTGAACTTTGGATTGCATCGTCTCCATCGTTTTTGGTTGTCTCTTTATCCTAGCTTTATTTGTTCTTTATACTTGCTCGAGTGTTGCTTGTTGTAGCTTACTAGCTTGTTGTGACACGTCATATAGGGTTGTATCACCTAGTTGCATTTCTACAGGATTTATATTTCCACCTACCCACTAAAACCAACTAAGAGAAGAATTTAATTTGGTAGTCACCTATCCCTCCTTCTAGCCATCATTTATGGAATCTTTGATCCTTCAATTGGTATCAAAGCAAGGTCTCTCTCTCGTTGTTGATCTTCACCGCTATACAGAGCGAAGATGTCAAACATGAAACCCTGACTACGAGTTGAAATTTTTGGAATTACAATGGAAGCTTGCCATATTTGAGAAAACGATGTCAATCAACCGTTGCATTTGAATGTTGCTGGCATAGTAAGTAATGAGGTTGATAACGAAGACTACACTCAAGTAAGGCATCACTACCCTATACTTCCATAAGGCACTCATGTTACTAATATAGGCCCTCCACCTACTCTTGCTCCTAAGAATTATGAACATTGGAAAGCCTTGATGAGTCTCATGTTTGTGGTGCCAACTTCGGCCTTTGAGAAATTATCGTGGATGGTTACTCCTTCGATCCTAAAAATCTACCCCCTCAGAAACAAGGGCTAGAAAATTTAACTTTGTGGTTTTGTCTATGATTACAATGGCTGATGATCATACCATTTTCAATTGCATTCGCCTCTATCCTATCATCTCCAAAACTCAGACCTACCCTGGTTCGCTCGCTCCACAAACAATACTCCCTCAACTTTAATACCAACCCCACCTCTCCTTCCTTTGGAAAATTGTGACCAACCAGCAACCATCCCTACAAAAAATCCTCTTCGTCCCCAGAAATAGTGGCACTTTCACCTTCCTCTAGCTTGACTCTTGGCTGATCTCCAAACCCCTACCCTCGACCTTCCCTCATATTTTTTCCACTCCACCTCCCGCGCATTACTAGTGTCCCTAGTCAAAATGGAGTACTCGCTAACCTGCGAGATCAACTAACCTATGTTGCTTTTGTCGAACTTTGCTATTTTGTCTTTGTTGTAGGATGTTACCTCAAATGACGCTTCAGGCAACAGGTTCCTCATCCATGCGACTTCGTTCTCTAGGTTACTTACTCATAGCTAGCCCTCAGCTCCGAGGTTGACATTAACCATGGCTACATTTGGAGCTCATTGACCCCCATCAAGGTCAAAAAAATAATTAGTTGCCTTCTATTTCATAACAGGTTGAATACCAAGGCGAACTTTCTCCACAAGACCATCTCCTCCGACTCATCTTGCCCATGGTGTGATCACCACCGCGAGGACGCACTCCACCTGTGTGGCTACTTCTTGACCTCGCCGTCCCCACCTCCCTCGACCACATTTGGACGCCCTCACCCTGGTTGGCCTCGACATCAACATCTAGCATACCGCCGCCCTCGCCATTTTGTGGAAAATTTGGGACTCCCACAGTGGTTGTGTTTTCGGCAATGAGTACCTCTTGGCTTCCGATACTCTTAGGAATATCATCTTAGACTATATTCTTTGGATCTTCAGGTAAAGGATCATGTTAGTAGGCTGCCATGTCATTGCACCACTACCTCCTCTCATTGTGTAAACTAACATAACAATAGCCCCACGTGCTCGGTGATTGTTAAAAAAAAATTAGGAGCCAACGATCGCTGCCATGGCAGAGAAGACAGCAGAAGCTATCAGAAGCAGCAACTGAAATTACCCAACCTTACAAGATTACCTCAACATAAGAGCAAACATGAGACGGTATTCTTAACCTATCTTTCAGGAAGAAAACCTTGTCAGCTTCTCATGAATTCTCCTGCATTCTGAATTCCTGTAAGAATTGAGAGGCAATTATATGTAATGTATTTTAGTTCCCTGTGTTCCAGCCTTCCAGGAGAAACCATAGCCAGAAACAATCAAGACTAGATGCACACATTCAACAATCACCTAACAATGGAAAGAAAGAGAGAAAGAGAGAAAGAAAAAAGATATCTCATCCCTTCAAAAATCTATCTGCTTACCTTGCATAATCACAAAAATATGGTACAAGCATGTAACAACAGCCGTGGCAAAAACAAGACATTGGAGGAGGACCAAGATATGCACAGCTCGGTTTCGCATCACCTACCTATCTCTCCATGCTACAGACCACAACAGACCAAGCCGCTACTAGTCGAAGCCTCGAATCACCCATCACTTGGCCAACCCAGCTCATCAAGTGGAAACCAAAACTATTTCATTCTTTCTACAACCAATTGACGCCAAAGCTTTTGCCTTGCTCTACTCCGCATACAACATACTTTCTGTTTTTAGTATTATGCCTCATCTCTCGGCTTTGCATTCTCAGCATTACCTGAGGTGGACTCCTCCGGCACGGCACCAGGACCATCACTCCCTACTGATAATGCTGAGTCAGTACTTTCAGAAGGTGTTGTTGCTGCTGCTGCTTCTGAAATATGATGTAGCATAACGAGGTTAGTATGAAAAGAAAATGTACACCACGATTATTATTATTTTGCAGGGTTTACAGCCCAAATAATCATAAGGTAATTATAGCCTAGAAATACACACTTAAAAGTTTCCCTGAGTTTGGATATTGTGTTAAACCGGCCCACAAAAGTATCTGGCTTTGAGAACAATTTACGATATTGAAACATACATCTAACTAGTTCAATAAACTACAAAATTAAATCACAGACCTTGCTGTTCAGATGAGGGAGGTTGCTGTGCATTCCAAGCAGCAATTGCGGATGCAGCCAGCTGTTCTTCGGTTACTTTCATGAGTTCCTCGCTGGTGTAAGGCACGGTTGTTTCAGGCTTGACATCTAAAAGCAGAAGCAATAAAAGGCAGTGGCACGGATTCTTAAATTCAGCAGGCTGTAGCAAATCCATCTTTTAAGCCAAGTAATTGATTTAAGAAAAATATGGTACCATTTTCTGACAAAATTTAGAGCAACCAGCCTAGGTGAGACAACTTTGAAAAGTATGGGCCTTAAGCTCGAGTCATGGCAAAATGTATACTTGATGAAGAGCAAGGAGAATGCTAGATACTTCATTAAAACATTAATGGCCGCTGGTTATGTGTTACGAGTATTTAACAAAAATAATAATGACAAAAGAAGAACTGACTAAAAAATGGTAATGAACAAACATAACTTGGCATCAACAACTGCAAGGGATCACTGTATCAGAAACACATATGGTGGTATTTCTGTTGCTTGACTGACATGCATAATTTTGAATTTTCAAACATAATATAGGTTCGAAGAAGAGTGCTTTAAACAAATTGGGCAGCATTTCGTTGAAAGAACTTCAGAAGGATTGAAATAACTGACCTTGGTCAACAGCAGGCTGTTGGCTATTATTCATAGGCGGAGGAGGCCTGTAACTCATGGATGGGGGATCCTCATCAAGTCCAATTTCTCGTTCAAGAGTGTTCTTGAAATCCCTTGATACATCCTAAGCGCAGAGAATTAGATTATACATCAAGGAATCCTCAGTCATCTCGCAGCAAGTAAATCTCAAGCCAACCTGTAGCTCTCTGATAGTCGGTTGGAACGCACGCAGAGTCTTCCCCAAACTCCTGGCTGCCTGCAAACAAGTTAGCGAGTGTGAAATACTGGACTGTATTCCCATTTTATTTCTGATTGGACAAGTATGATTCCCACTGGTCGCAAAAAGGAAAACTTGTTTTAAAACATATTGGCTGACAGAGCTATGGTTACATAGTTTTTCTTGAAGAAAGCTATAAATGCAGATATATCACCAAATCCTCTGTATAAAGTATAATAGATAATATGCTCATTTGATGAGGGCAGTGCATCCTGGAGGTTGAGATAATGTATGCGCTCAAAAGATGATGCCATTGCTTACAATTTAGTGGACAACAACTACAATAAAATGAAGGCCAGCCCTAGGCTGAGCAAGGTTACCTCTGCCAGACCCTTGGGGCCAAAAACCAGCAAAGCAACCACTCCAATGACCAGAGCCTCAGGAGCTCCAACGCCAAACAAAGAAGCGTAGATGCCATTTCTGCGTCTTCTTCTTTTGACCACTGCATTTAATCACAAAGCAAGATCAGGGACAAACCTAATCGAACGCGCTGAGGAAGAAGAACAACTGAATCGATTTGAGCTCCGAATAGATACAGAGCAAATATATCTGCAACTAACTGGACGGAAAGGCATCATGGTTCAGGATCGACAGCATAAAAAATGTTTCTAAGAGCTGAAGAACAAACCCATCCAAGGAGCAAGCAAAGGCAAAGGGGCTACGCACCGAAGCAAGAAGAAATCATCCGAACCCCCGAGCCGGTCCAGTGGAGGGGAGGAGCGCGGTGACGGGGAAGAGATACGAAGGCGGCAGCCGCCGGGGGCAGCCGGGCGGCGTGGCGGCCCGGCTGCCGGAGCGGTGCCGGGAGGCTGGCATAGCGCACCTGGGAAGAGCAGAGGAAGAGGCTGCTCGACATCAGGGGCACGGGGGGAGAGTTTGAGATAGGGTTGCAGGTGCAGCCACATGATTATTTAGGCTCCGTGGCCTTCCGGGCGCGTGTCCGTCCGTTTGGGCATCGGACGGCTGGCAATTTTGTTTGCTCTTTTTATTAACTGAAATGAAATACCACAGTGTGTTCTCGACTAGGCTTGCGAGTTTGCTAATATTGCATGTCCTTACAAACACGCACATAAAAAAAGATCATGACTGTGGGAGTGTCGAGGTCTTCTTCCTCCTGCATCCGTTAGTGGCTCACCGTGCGCATAGCACGATGTCGCCTCAGGACATGCGCCTTCACGGAGCAAATTAATTTAAACCGAAGAGGTTGTAGAAGCAGCGGCCAAAAAGTCGTTGATGCAGACCAGGAGACGTCGATGCCCGCGACCTGCGAAGCAAATCACTGCCTAGAGAAGAAAACGCCGATTAGAGAATGTAGAAACCCTGAAGACCACGAAAGCTAGCCGGATCTAGAGTCGCAAACCTAAACCGCCCGGACCCCAGAAGACCTGGCGGAGATACAGCTACACATGCCCTCTGTCGGTGATACTCGCAAAATGGGGATAGGGTGGGAGAACATTATTCTTACATTGGGGCGCCGTGCTGCCTGACCATCCTAACCGAACACATAACACATACTCTCTGAAAAACATCAGAAACAAAATGCCCATGCCACTACACACCGGATCAGGATATGAGGTTGAGCTCGTCGTTGTCCACGAGGATGCACCAACAGTGGCGGATCTAGGCCCCGGGTCAGAGGGGGGAGGGAGGGGGCATGCCAGGGCATGAGGCCCAAATCCTTTGTATATTGTATCAAAACACTGTAGCAACTGCTACAGATACAAAGAGGGCCTGCTGGGCTGGATCCGCCCCTGTGCCCCACCATCCTCTTCTCCTATGACCTAGCTAGGCCAGGGCCGCCATTGAAGAGTACTACACTAGATCCTTCTGGCTACCATCGACTTCACCAACTTCACCGTCGAGCACCACCTGATGAAGACCTCCACTCGAGCCCTCATCTCCTTCGTCGTCCACAACAACCCTCCAACAACTCTTCAATAGTCACCCCCCCTCCCCCTTGATCAGGACCTCCAGCAGCCGACGATGCTCCCTAGCGGCGGTGAGAGGGGTAGGCGACGGTGGGGGCTAGGCTTCTCCCAGTCCCCTGCCTTCGCCTCTCTCACGAAGGGTTACCACCTAGCGATGCAATATAATTACCTCAAACTGCATTTCATCATGCAACAAGTCTGGTAAACCTATGGGTTCTATTTCAAATTCCTCTACTTATTCTAAATTATTTGAAGTTCTCACTTTATCCCAAATAAAACTTCTTCCCATTTTTTATTGTTGATTGTTGGTTTAAGATAGCTTATCGCTCATGGCGAACATAAATTTGACCAAGTCCCAAAAAATATCAATGTATACAACATCAGCTTTTTTTGAACTTATATACAACATCAAATTAGTTGCATAAGATTCATCACAAAATTTATTTCTGTATTTTGTATATCTTATATTGTGGATATTTACACTTTTTATATAAAACTTACAAACAATCCGCTTGTAGACGAACCCATCTGTGTCAGCAGGCGAATGAAGGTTATTCAGAAATGGCGACTTGCAAATGTTTCACGTTCCATAAATGGCAGACCTACACAAACACATGGACATACAATATGAACTACAATAGCTAGTACAACTTTATTTTCCACCAGGAGAATGCTGGTTGCAGTGCATAATCTCAGTCTATGAGATACAACTTACTAAAACTCCCCACAAAACATGTTCCGAACAGAGAATACAAAGATATTGTTCCCATGGGCATCTTTCTTCATCGCTAAAAGCGTATGCTGAAACCTTTGTCGGTTTTGGTCACATCCATGCTGCCGAATTCGTCAATGTCCGAATCCGAATCTCCGTCCCTGTAATTACCCCATTCTTCCGCAGAGCTGTCGTCATCCTCGCCCTTTGATGCTGGGACTTGTAGCGCCTCGGTAGGTACGGGTAAGGGTTCTTCAGTGAAGTACGGATCATTCAGCAAGTCGGAAGCACTAGCCCTCTTTGCTGGGTCATAGCAAAGTAGCCGCTTTACTATGCTAACCTCAGAGGCAGATCTGTTAGGAAGTGATGCTTTGAGGCCCGTAGGCTTCTCAACCTTGCTGAAGAAGATCTTGTTGTAATCCGGTAAATTTGAACAGCCAGGAAAGGACTCTTCTGTGATATTGCCCAGGACTCCGATGATTCTACCAATCTGGTCAATATCAGATTGGCCTGGGAATATGGGCTCTAAACTGAGAAGCTCAGCCAAAATGCATCCTAGTGACCACAGGTCGATCTCTTGGCCGTAGCTGGTTGACCCATATAGGAGCTCAGGAGCTCTAAACCACCGTGTTCCAACACAAGAAGTGAAGGCACCAGACTCTTCATCCCCGATGTCTTCTTCAGCATCATACGAATATGAGGCTCTAAAAGGATCATCGTCAATGTCAGCTGTGCTGCAGGTGGCGAGACAGGAGGTGTTTCCATCCTGAAGGCTCATTCTGTCCACATCTCCATAAGTGGACTTGGCCCGGAGTTGGTCAATCTCATGTAGGTAGTCGGCTGCAGTGAGTGTCTCTGGCTCCTGAGCAGCAGGAATTTCCGTTTCATCAGATGCCTGTTCTTGAAGAATCCTGGCCTGCCAAAGAACAAAGAGCAAAATAATTTGTGAAAAGCAACACAACTGATACAAACAACTGAAAGCAGTACAGAGTATATAGCGTACAGGTATACGACAAGCACAAGAGACAAAGTTGATCAACTATATGATAGACCACATATATGCTTCATGTGTTCCTTCGCAAGAAATGACTGTCCTTGGCAAGAGGATCGCTACTGCTATGATAAAATAATTTATTTGTCGTAAAGCTTGTAGTTAAAATTGTGAATATAAATCAGTATAAAATTTCAGAACATTATATTATATGAAGAACTTAACTTAATTAGCACAGAAAGACTAAACCCTATGAACATGGAAATGGTAAAAGAAGAACCTTTTGCAATGATCTTTGCATATAGCACGGGTACATTTCATAGAGTTATTGGCTACTTCAAGGAAAATTCCTTAACAGTGTTTACAATGCTCTCGTTTAACTGATGCAAGTTATGTTGATCATGTATCAGCTGAGATGCTGAAATCGAAGATGGTAACCCATAAAGAACATATTGCATTCCAAAACTACAAACCACAGCAACAGTCACTCATAGTACCATATCCATATTAGCACTCCTAATGAAATACGGAAATTTCAACAATATGCTACACCTAATGGTAGGAGCCACGCTGATGCAAAATAATTTACTATCCCAGAAGGAAGCAAGGTAGTGTGCATTAAAGCATAGTTAATAGTCATAATGTATGGCTTCGTCGTAACTCTCACAAACTGAAAGGGTCGTTACAGTATACAGATATGCCTCAGCATAACATCAACATATAAAGCTACACCATAAGAATGTAGAAGAAAAGATGACTTCAGGTTATGTCCAAAATTTACAGCAGAACATAATACTGGTATGCTGCAGCACACTGCCAAAAAAATTCCTCATTGACATGATGAACGTCACCAGCTTTTGAGCTAACTCTAGCATTTGAAGAATCTCTAAATTCTGACAAGAAAATTTATTGCACAAACACAAATGACATTTCTGATTCAACTAGATTTCCTTGAACAGCAAAATTGTAGAGTATTTGAATAATAAAACTGCATGCATGTAAAACCAAGGAAGATCAATGAAAGAAATTGTAGGCATAAGATGCCCAACCCATGCTCTTTATCTATGGTTTCAATTCCTAGTTTCCTACACAGAGCAAAGTATGTCTGATAGTGTAAAGATGTAATTTAGGCAAATTCACCAACTACATCTCCCCTACTACCTTAAAGTTGACAGCTCACCATACATTAACCCATCATATAGAATTCTAGATATTTAACCTTACTGCCGACCAACAACTGTTTATAACTTGTCAATTTCGCCATTATAAGGCTGATTTTAATTCCAAGATATTTAACCTCCATGTTGGAGCACAGCAGCTGCAAAGTCCAGAAAAGGCATGCAGTTTGGGGTCCATTTAGCACCAACAGTATCTGAAACTTCAAGAACAACAGCTCTATGCTCTACATGTACATTATCCTTCTATAATCAAATCCTTCGTCATGTCTACAGACAGCAACTAAAATGGTTCCTCACCAGTTATATTCCCAGAGAGTTGGAGACCATTAGAACTGCCATGTTGCAGCAGGAGCTCCCATAGTATAACCACCGAGCACAAAAAAGAAATCAACATTTACCACTATTCCTGTGCCGATTTGAGGAAAGACTATCGGCCGACGTCCATGACTAATCATTCAACCTAACAGTTTTGACATGCTACTACAGAAAGAGAACCGATTCTCTACTCCTGAATCCATAAAAGAAAGTCATTCGTCGAACTGAGAGAAGCGTTATCAGGATTTCAACCTGACCAAAGTCGGCGACCTTGAGGACTCCGTCCTCGGAGATGAGCAGGTTTCCGGGCTTGAGGTCGCGGTGCACGAGGCCGGCGCGGTGGCAGGCGGCGACGCCTTCGATGACCTGCAGCATCCATCGCTTGAGCTGGCCGGCAGGGAGGCCGCCCGCGCGCCTCCCTTCGCGCACGACGGCGGCGAGGTCGAGCGGGAGCCACTCGAGGACGAGGACGTCGTCGTCGTGGTCGCCGCCGGGGAAGTGGTCGAGGAGCGTGATGACATGAGGGGAGGACTCAGAGGCGGCGGCGAGGAGGGCGTCGGCCTCGCGCTGTGCGCTGACAGCGTCGTGGACCTCCTTGAGGGCAACCGGTGCGCCGTCGGAGCGGCGACGGCCGCGGTAGACGTCGGCGTAGGCGCCAGAGCCAGCGCGTCCGAGGACATCGTAGCGGGAGGTGACGTCCGGGCGGCCGTGGATGCTCCAGCTCCCGCCTCCGCCGCCGCCGCCGATCGCCATCGGGATAGGGGTACGGCGAGGGGAGGAGTTTGTTTTTTCTCTACTTTTGACAGGAAAACTGGAAGAGGAGTGTGCAGGCCGACTGGGCTTTGGTATCTGGGGCCACACGGTGGGAGTATTATCATGCATATGATAGTAGTATTATTTTTATAGTCGCCTAGTTTGGATGGGAGTGGGGACTGAGATAAGATCAACGTGTGATGCCTATCTAGCGCTTTGTAATCTCTTGTAAATATTTTCTCTTTTTTATAAAGCTAAGGCTCGAAAAAAATATTGTTGTGCATGACACAAATAGCATAGCACTTAACATGATATGATATCTACCTATGTTACTTTAACTCTCTCTCTTATTTAATTCTCTGTCACATCAGCATTTTTATTATTTTCGAGTGTATGATACCGGTTAAGATACCACCAGTATGGCCAGCCCAAAAGCATCTGCACGACGGAAGAATATCACACGGAACCAACATTCGGTGAAAATCGATAAAAACCACGAGACAAAGATGTTTTGGAGTTTAAAAAAAATATAAGAAATGTTAAGAGGATGATGTTTTATTGCCACGCAAAATTTCAAGTTGAAATACATTACAAGATGTGAGATATGAAAAAGTCAAAATCAGCGTTGAATAGCGCCAAACAACAACGTCATTATTCAGGGTTGAATTTGTCTTTTTCATAACTCACATCTCGTAATGTGTTTCAACTTGAAACTTCGCATGGCAATACAACATCACCTTCTTAACATCCAATGTTTTTTTAGATTTTTTATAACTTTAAAATGTGGTTTCCATGAAATTTTCATTGAATATTGGTTTTTGTATGATATTCTCCCTACAGGACTTGTCAAATCCAACCACTACCCGGCACGCCCAGCTCACTGACGCAGACGGACCGCTCCTCATATGTCTTGTCCGGCATTCATATATCTTAAATTCAGACTTTCAAATATATATAAATCCATGCATCTCCATCATACACATCAATGCCGCACGTACATAACAAATGTTGATAGTGAAAACACATAGTTCTTATATAAAATTTCGTGAATACACAAAATTTGCGTATCATTTCATTGCTAGAAGGAAGCGGAATGGGTACATAAGAATGTACAACATATGCACGAAGGCAAGGAGGCTTGAGCATGGCACCCAAAGCAGGGACAAGGAAAGCTCGACCCAAACAAAAAAAGGAAAAAAAACACTACTAAAACCACGAAACCTACACTAGGGAGACAAACTGAACTAGTGTCACATCCAACAACTTGAAAGCCAACCATCGGGGACGCCTTGAGCGAGATAGCGCCTTCAAGAAGGGGAATGACATCAATACGTCGCTGCCATCCAGTCCGAAGAGTCGGACCTAGGGTTTTCCTCAGTGCTTGAAGAGGGGAACAGATAAAGACCATGGCAGCACCTCCAAGAACGGGAACGACACTCGTGAGTGACGTCGCTGCCAGCATCGGAAGGCCGAGCAGGGATTTCGCCCTAGCCTAAGTTTTAGCAATCCCAATGTCGCCAAAGCAGTGTCCAGAGTTGATGAAGTCGAGCCACTGGTCAAGATCGCCACCTTGGGAGGGATCGGCTGCATCTGCCGTCGGAGGATGGCATTGGGCACCGTCAAAAGACACGAGCTTTAGATCTGGCTAAAGGATGAGGCGCCATGGTGGACAGGGGCAGAGACAGCTAAGCAGGGGGCGATGTGGAGGACGGCTGCCGGCGACACCGGCAAGCTAGGAACCGGAGAAGGATCACAGTTCCGTGCAACCAGGGATGGAGCGGCCGACACCGACGGGCCAAAGGAGCTGGGGAGGACGCAGCTACCACGACGTCGGGGCCGGAATTATGCCTGTAGAGGACGGTGACGTTGGAGGACGCAGGTCCAGGGCCGTCATGGACCAGACTAATGCCGAAGAGGATTCCGCCACGAGGGGTAGCACCGCCAAGAGAACCACCATGATGCTGGAAAACGTAGTAGAAAAAATCGCCCTATGATCACCCAAGAACAATATGAAGATGCATATAGGGTTTGGATCAACGACCGTTACTAACTCCGAAGTGCAACGGAAGTAGACGGGTCAGTGTAGATCGTACTTGGAGTCCCTCGAACCGTTGATGACTGTCACATCCCTAGTTCTAGTATGCTCTGAGCTAGCTAGTCATGTGTTGCATCATGTTTAAAATCTTATGAATTTGAATTGGGGACTGTTGAAACCCTAACACAGATGAATCCAACTAGATTCAAATAAAAAATATCATTTTTCAATGATCCCAAAATTCCTTTGGAAAAGTTCATCATTTTTGAATTGGTCTAGAACCTCTGCCAAAAACGATGCACATTTTCCTAGGTCACTTTGGATTTTTGAATGAATTCATAAAGTATTTGAATTTGGGCATTTAATTTCTATAAATAATTAAAATGCCCAAATAATTCTGAAAGTGGTTGAGGGCTATTGGAAATATTTTCAAAAGTGCCCACAATTATTTTCAGGGTTTTTGAAAATGCCTTAGCATTTTATTTAAGTCAAAAACAATTACAGAAAAATAGAAAAGAGAACAGAAAAATAAAACAGAACACAAACTTACCTGGCCTTACCTGAGAGGCCCACCAGCAGCCAGCCCACCAGAGCCTAGCTGCCAGTCGTCGTCCTCCTTGCGCCAGAAGGACGCGGGCGCGAGCCCGCCGCGCATGGCCACACGCCGGCCACCTCCAGGCTGCCTGCCTGTGCGACGACATCCCTGGAGACGCCACACCCCCCAGGCCCTCTCACTCCTCCCCCCGTGCTCATCCCCTCCCCTGTCCCTCTCATCCGCACCCACCCGAGCGTAGCCATCACCGCCGCTTGTTGCTGCCGTGCCCCGAGCTCCCCCTCACCTCTCCGACATGCCCAGGGGCTCCGTCACCGTCGCCTACGCCCCCCTGTTGACTCACGTGACTCCAAACGCCGCCGAATGCCGTCCTCGCCTTCGTCTTCAACCTCGGGCACCCGAGCCTGTCTTCGGTCGATTCGGCGTCGCCATGACCTCCCCGAGCTCGCTAACCCCCTCTTCGGCACCGTTGTGAGCTCCTACGCCCCTCGCCCCTCTTCCCGTTGATGTGTTCGTCCTCTAGTCATGTTTTCCACCTCGGCCGAAGCTCGCTGCCGCCGTCCATGGCGCCGCCGCGGCCACAGCTGCTGCCACCCGCGTCCGAGCTCATCATCGCGCTCAGCGCACCCATAGGAGCACGATGCACTCACCATCTCCTCTCCTAGTGCTCCGTAGCCCTGTTTCCATTGATGGCCGAACCACGGCCGCCGCAAACCTCGTCGCCGGCGTCGATTCTGGCGACCATCTGGTCCAGCTCCACCACCCACACATGCGGCTTAGCCCCAGCTCTTCATAGAACCCAACCACGCCCCAAACCGTGGTCTGTAGCGCAATCCCGACGCAGACGCCGCCGCGATCTGAGGTCGCCGGCGGTTAAACGCTGGTGGCTGACGTGGCACCATTAGTTTAGGTGCTAATCGTGTTTAGTTTTGCCTGTGTCAATGACACGTGGGTCCCCGAGCATAATTAGGTTAGTCTAATTTTCTGTTAAGATTAGTACTAATACGTGTGGACCCCACGTGTCAGCTTTGACTTTGGTTAAGTCAACATTGACCGGTCCCACCCGTCATCCACCCAAACCAGCCTGAGCCACTGACGTATGGGTCCCACAGGTCAGGTTTGACCTGGCCGACCTAGTTGACCTGCTGATGTCACACCTATGTCATGCTGATGCAGTAAAGCATTTTCTGGATTTAAGTTTATTCAAGAAATTCCAGAAAATGCCCAAAACTTCTAAAAATCATAGAAATTAAACCGTAACTCCAAATGAAATAAATTATATATGAAAAATTATCAGAAAAATCCAATCTATCCATATGTACCATTTTCATGCATGTTATAACAACTTAAGGCCACTGTTTAGGACAAATCAAATGAATGGTATTTAAATAACCACATGTGGAGTTTGAATTTGAACTTTGGGTTCAAACCAACTTCATTTAATTGTGTTGCTACTTGCATTAGCTCAATGAACAACATATTGCCATGTCATTATCATGCATCATGTTTTGCATTGCATTGATTGTGTTCCTTCTCTGTTGCCGGTGGTTGTCCCCTCTCGATAGACGTTGTACCGACGCTGTGATCGTTGACACTGATGAAGACCCAATGATATCTTCAGAAGTGCCAGGCAAGCAAAACCCCCTTGTTCATTCCGATACAATTCCACTCTCTCGCTCCTGCTCTCTTTTACTACATTAGGACAACAACGATTCAACTGTTACATGCTGCGGTAGTTAAACCCCTTTCCTCTGCATGACCTGTCATTGCCACAGTAAATAGATGAAACCCACTAGCATGAGTAGGAGTTGTTTGAGCCCTGATGTGCCCACTCATTCATGCTTGTTTGTCATGCCTGCTATTGCATAGAGTTGTGTCGGGTCTGATTCATCGGGAATGAATTGGAATGGTGATGAACATGTCCTACTGTGTGTGAGCTAAGTGTGTGAACACGATTTGGTAAAGGTAGTGGTGAGAGGCCATGTAGGAGTACATGGTGGGTTGTCTCATTGAAACCGTTCTTAAGAACTGAGTTCTGTGTCTGTGATCCATGAACAGCTACTACCACTCATTGGGATCCTTAATTGACCCTCTCGGCTTCTTAATCACCCTAGTACTCTGTCCATGAGTTGCAACTAGTTTCTGGTGTTTGTAGGTTATGTGTTGGCGGCCGTGCGTAGCACTGACCCTAGGGGTTGGCTATGATGCGGTAGATACACCGTGGCACGGTGTACCGGGCGCCCGTTTGGTGTCTCGGGAACCCTGTTCACATCGTTCGGGGCCGTATGTGGAAACCTCGGCCAGACTCCCTGCGGATGGAACCTGGATAGGCGATAAACCTGGACTAGAGACCTGAGTGTTTAGGTAGGCCGTGGCCGACACCCTCATTGGGCTTCCGCTTGAAGGTTGCCGAGTACATGTCGTGTAAACGACGGTAAGTGGTGGGAGCGTGTGTGAAGAAGTACACCCCTGCAGGGTTTTCATTATCTATTCGAATAGCCGGATTCCTCAGATATGGAAACTTGGACCACTTGCATAGTT